AAAAGTTTTTTTGGAATCGCGTTTTTTTTTTCGAGATCTATCCACCGCAAGCTGCCGTAGGCGGTTTGGCCCACCATTTTTTTTTTTAAAAAAAATGCTTTATTAAATAGTTTCTAAGAAAAAACTATGACAACCTTATTTTTATGAATGAATTTTTAAATTTTTTTAATTAAAAAATTGTCCCGTGCATTATTTAATAATAATAATCTCTCTTTATAATTGGTCAAATTATTTAATTATGGTAAATTAGGTAATAATTAATGATGGTAATAGAAATTCTAGATGAATATAGAATTGAAGAATATTTCATTATTGTTATATTATTATTGTGACTCACGGAATACAATACAGGAATATTTAATTATGGTTATATTATTATTGTGTGTCTCACAACCATTATATATACTAACAAAACTTGAAAAGAAACTAATAATAATATTAATAATAATAATATAAGTGGTAAAAATAATATCTAAAAGTAATTAAGTGTTAATAATAATAGTAAAAATATTAACGTAAGAATTATAAATAGAATAAATCGTAATAATTAATAACTATAGTCTATGCTTAAGTTTGGAATTGTCAGGAAAGATAAGCGACCTCTGGTGAAATTAACTCATAAATAATTATATATCAATTTAAATATTCTTAATATATTACAACAATTCCATTTCGTGCATCGGATGAAAATACTAGTAAATTATAAAACATGCATATATGGATCCGATCCGATCCATTTATTATGTGTCGCCACTGGGTCCAATATTTTATTATTACGACACCATTATTTCATATCATTCTTGGAGCTAGTTATCACTTAATTGAGATTGTTCATGACATTTTCAAAAAAACTTTCAACAACATTAAAGCATGAGCCGCCCTCCTCTAATGCCTTCCTGCTCTTTTCTTTAACTTCCTTAGCCTTTATCCTTATAGATTTGGAAGTAGAGTGGTCCATAAGATTTGTGATTCCAATTTCTATCTCCTTTGCACTCACAATTTCAGGAACTATTGGAATATTATTCATCTTCGGATCTCTTAAATCTTTTCTGTAATCTATCTTAATTTCTACACCCATTCCTATCTCTTTCACAACTTGGAAAGCATTTGCTTGTTGCTCTACGACCATCGGCCAAGTTGCCATTGGAACTCCAAACCAACTACTTTCCAGAACAGAATTCCATCCGCAATGAGACACGAAACCCCCAACAGCTGGGTGAGCTAGAATTGCACTTTGTGGTGCCCATCCTAAAACTTTTCCAATGCTTTTTAGTTCTTTCTAAGAATCCTTCGGGCAGGACCTCTTCCAGATTGGTATACTCGGTGACGGCTAGTGAACCACTACCTGGAGAGGGTAGCTTCCTCAAGGCCCATAAGAACCTTTGGCCGCTACGTTCAAGTGCGTAGGCTATCTCCTTCACTTGAGGCTCGGGAAAAGCACAGCCGCTTCCGAAGCAAAGGAACACAACTGATGAAGGTGGTTGGTCATCCAACCATTTGAAGATTTGGTTGTGGGATTCTTGAGGAGTGTTTAGGTTTAATACGGGTTCGAGAGCGTATAAAGGTGGGATAGTCTTGTCTTTAGCGAGAGATTGAAAGGCATGCGGCTCGAGGTCGAAGAAGGTGTTGGGAATGATGCCTTTGGCCCGTCGAAACTGCCTGGCGTAATCCAAGAATCCGATTCCGTCGGTTGTGTTCAACACAAAGGAGGGCAGTAAGTTGGCCAGAAAGGGGTTGAAATATGTAGAGATATTGAGATACTCCCCCTTAATAAACTCCTCGAGGGTACCATTGTGTTGGTCTTTGAGTCTCTGGAAATGGAAGTGAAGGCCGAGCATAGCAGCAGCAAGATCCAGATGCCCGCAGGTCCTCAAGCAGTAGTTTAATTTGAACTTCAATCTCTTCTCAGCGGAATCGGAATCCGCAAGCAAAGAATCGATTAAAGAATTAACCTTGGCTTGGGGAGCGAAATGCATTTTCATAAGCAAGAAAGTGATGGAGAGCTGAGGTCGTCTTTGCAGGAGGAGCTTCGCGGTTTCCACTGCAGGAACAAGGTGACTCACTGAAAAGCCTGGAACGAAAACCAGTTCAATACCATCTTCCATTATATATATTATTGGATTGGATGGAATTCAAAGCTAGCTTATAGCTAGGACGACTGTAGGTATGTATAATGTATGTAGCTTAGCTAGCTTGAATCAAGCTATACATATATATATCCAGTATGAAGGTAGACCATGCCTGAAACTCCGATCCGATCCTCTGCAATTTAATTATTTGTACCGTTGTACGTACAATTGCATTGCCGTGAATCGTGTCTGTAATAATATACTTATTATTCATCTCAAAATAAATGACCAAGGACCGCTAGTTTTCATTTATTATATACTAGTTTTTTTTCATGTACATAGAATAAATAAATGAATAAGGGTCAAAGAGGCCGCTGAACTGCACACGAGAATGCAATTAGGCTACTGAATTAAAAAAAATCTACAATTGGGTCTCTAAACTAACCAATTTCATTCAATTTGTTCATTTTTCAGGTTTCTCAAGTTGCTAACAGGTTACCTCTCCATCTAAGATGCGTATGTGGCATTTGGATTCCTTGTTTAGGTCAAAGAGATTAATCGCAGGAAGACTTCTCACAGACTTCATCACAGCCACCTTCAAATTAGATATGCGTAATATATTTTACTTTTTCAATCTAACAATAGTACTGCTAATGTATAGTATTAAAATAATTCAATTACTGCCAAATGTATAATATAATTCAATTACTGTATCGTGGCCAGGAACAAATAAAACAATTAACAAATTATTTAATCGAAAGTCTAAACTATCGTGATTTAGTGATTTTTGAATTTTAAAATAATTAGTTTGTATTGGTGATTTGCGAATTTTAAACAAATACAAATTATTTTATTAAGCATTAAAAGACTAATTTAAAAATAAATTATTTAGTTTTTATTTATTAAAACATTAAAAAAATTAATTTAAAAATAATTAATTTTTAAAAAAGTCACATAAGCATCCTAGGTGGAGGGGTAACTTGTTAGCAACTTGAGAAACTTGAAAAATAGACAAATTGAATGAAATTGGTTAGTTTAGGGACCCAATTGTATGTTTTTTATGTTCAGTGGCCTACTTGCATTTTCGTGTGCAGTTTAGTGGCCTAATTGACCCTTATTCCATAAATAAATTGCCTAACAAATATAGTTGTAAATATTGTGCCAAGCACCTTGGGGCTTAGATGACATGTAGTGACCCTCTCATCTGGGAGATCAAGAGATGGAGATGTTGGAAAAATGACATAATGGCCTTGTTTCACCCGGTGCCGGCCTAGCGGAGGGGGTGACCTAGAAAAGGGCTACCTGGTGCTTGATTTGATCCGGAGTGAAGCCATCCAAAGGGGAAAAGGGCTACCTGGTACCGAGAAGTGTTCGGAGTGTGAGCCGTCTAGAGTAAGCCGACGTCCTTCTCAAGGGGTGGTCAATGATACGATTCACATCGGCTCCACAATAGATTGTGGAGTGCTACTTAAATTCGGGTCAAACCTCCACTCATGAACTAATTTTTGTGGTAGAGTTAGGGTTTTGGTTTAAGTACCGTATCAATTAGCCGATATGGAATCGTATCAATGTATGTAGACCATGAAACTCCTCTGCAATTTATTTATACGTAAAATTGCATTGCCGTGAATCGTGTGTAAGAGGATCAATAGCCCGGGACCGCTGGTTTTTATTTATACGTAAAATATATTTATTATTCATCCCAAAACAAATGCCCAGGGACCGCTGGTTTTCATTTATTATATACGGATCGGAGTACTAGTTTTTTCATGTGCATTATATTGTGAGAATCACATAATGTTTGAGGATTATTTTTAAATAAGTAATTCAAAGAATATGAATATAAAATTATATATAAGGGAATAAGGGTCAAATAAGCTTCTTTCATCTCTCATTTGCATCAGCATATAGTATTTGTACCCTCTTAGTCTTGGACAACTCTTGTCTTTTCTAAAGCTTTTTTTGCTATAATTGACAGCAATGCCCTATTTGCGCTTGCTCCCTTGCACTTCGATCCTCAACTTTCTTACTTCTTTGTATATTAAAGATTCATTTATAGGTATATAATACCTAAAATAAACATTCAGTATACTTAATTTGTAGTCTTGATAAAATTGGACATAGACGGAGCCAAAGGGGGACAAGGGGGTCAGCTGCCCCCCCTCACCCCACTCCTACCCCTACCCCTACTCCATATATAATTTTTGTATGTATATATGTATATATAGTACATTTTTTAGTATTAGTATATAAAAACTGTTAATTGTTCATAAGAAATGAGTTAGATTAGTTGGTAGAGCATGCATTTGGTTATAATAAAGGTTAGGCGTTCGAATCATATAGTTTTTTGGCTCCTTCCCTATGACTTTAACACAATCACTTTTTAATAGTTTTTTTAATATTTGATACACACATACATATATATATTCAAATTATTTTATCAAATTAATTATGTTTCATATTTTGTTATGAATATTTTTATAAAGTTTCGATTTGTTTTATTTTACGCCCATATCCAATAATATTTACACCTATATTTCTTAGGTAATTTATTTATTTATTTTTTAAATATCTCTTTTATTTTAATGTTTCGCCTTTACTTAAAATAATTTGTGAATCCGTCCCTATATCGCCTCCCCTCAACAAAATTCCTGGCTCCATCCCTGGAATTGGATTATTGTCGTATATATATTATATATATTGTTATGGATTTAGCTAGTTGCATTGTGTTATCTCAAAACCATTCCCTTTATTTAAATTTTCTAGGTTGCAAGTTAGGATTATATTATTAATTGGCAAATAAACGTAGAATTGAATCTTTAATTGCAAAATCAAGAAACACATGCATCGCAAGTACTATAATAATAGATTAATAGCTAGCTAGCACTCACGTATACACAAATGTGGAGTAGTTAGCTTAGTAACAAGACATGATTCAAATTCAACCGTTATTATTAGAAGCATGCATGCAAGTAAGATTGAAACTTTCAATTCATACATAAAAGGCTAATGATAATAAATTATAAAACATGCATATATGGATCCGATCCGATCCATTTATTATGTGTCGCCACTAGCTCTAATATTTTATTATTACGACACCATTATTTAATATCATTCTTGGAGCTAGTTATCACTTAATTGAGATTTTTCATGACATTTTCAAAAAAACTTTCAACAACATTAAAGCATGAGCCGCCCTCCTCTAGTGCCTTCCTGCTCTTTTCTTTAACTTCCTTAGCCTTCATCCTTATAGATTTGGAAGTAGAGTGGTCCATAAGATTTGTGATTCCAATTTCTATCTCCTTTGCACTCACAATTTTAGGAACTATTGGATTATTATTCTTCGGATCTCTGAAACCTGTTCTGTAATCTATCTTAATTTCCACACCCATTCCTATCTCTCTCACCACTTGGAAAGCATTTGCTTGTTGCTCTGCGATCATTGGCCAAGTTGCCATTGGAACTCCAAACCAACTACTTTCCAGAACTGAATTCCATCCGCAATGAGACACGAAACCCCCGACAGAAGGGTGAGCCAGAATTGCACTTTGTGGTGCCCATCCTAAAACTTTTCCGATGCTTTTAGTTCTTTCTAAGAATCCTTCGGGCAGGACCTCTTCCAGATTGGTATACTCAGTGACGGCTAGTGAACCACTACCTGGAGAGGGTAGCTTCCTCAAGGCCCATAAGAACCTTTGGCCGCTACGTTCAAGTGCGTAGGCTATCTCCTTCACTTGAGGCTCGGGAAAAGCACAGCCGCTTCCGAAGCAAAGGAATACAACTGATGAAGCTGGTTGGTCATCCAACCATTTGAAGATTTGGTTGTGGGATTCTTGAGGAGTGTTTAGGTTTAATACGGGTCCGAGAGGGTATATGGGTGGGATAGTCTTGTCTTTAGAGAGAAATTGAAAGGCATACGGCTCTAGGTCGAAGAAGGTGTTGGGAATGATGCCTTTGGCCCGTCGAAACTGTCTGGCCCAATCCAAGACTCCGTCGGTTGTGTTCAACACAAAGGAGGGCAGTAATTTGACCGGAAAGGGGTTTAAATATGTAGGGATATTGACATAATCCTCCTTAATAAACTCCTCGAGGGTACCATGATGTTGGTCTTTGAGGCTCTGGAAATGGAAGGCAAGGCCGAGCATCGCAGCACCCACAACGTAGAACACGTAGGTGGGGACCCCAAACTCGTCAGCCAAATCCATCACGCGGGTATAGAAAATGTCGATAACAAATCCCGCTAGGCGCGGCCTCGACTTCTGGGTTATTAATTCATTAACGCAGTAGTCTCTGGCTTCACTCAGGAGCCCGGAATTCATGTAGTTGTTGATGGAATCCAAGTCCTTCAACGCAGCAGCATGATCCAGATCCAGGTCCTCAAGCACTAGTTTGAACTTCAATCTCTTGTCATCAGCGGCGCCGGCATCGGCAATCAAAGAATCGATTAAAGAATTAACCTTAGATTCGGGAGCGAAAACCATTTTCATGACCAAGAAAGTGATGGAGAGCTGAGGTCGTCTTTGCAGGAGGAGCTTCGCGGTTTGCACTGCAGGAACAAGGTGACTCACTGAAGGGGCTGGAACGAAAATCAGTTCAATAGCATCTTCCATTATATTATATTGGATGGAATTGAAAGCTAGCTTAGCTAGGACTGCATGTAGCTTAGCTTGAATCCAGATATCCAGATCTATCGAAGCTATACCTATATATAGCTATTGATTGCAATTTATTTATCCGTAAAATTGCATTGCCGTGAATCGTGTGTTCGAGGATCAATAGCCAGGGACCGCTGGTTTTCATTTATACGTAAAATATATTTATTATTCATCCCAAAATAAATGACCAGGGACCTACGCTGCTTTTCATTTTTATTATATACGGATCGGAGTACTAGTTTTTTCATGTGCTTATATTGGGAGAATCACATGATGTTGGAGGATTATTTTTAAATAAGTAATTCGTAGAATATGAATATAAAATTATATATAAGCGAATAAGGGTCAAATAAGTTATCTAACTGCACAAGATAATGTAATTAAGTCACTGAACCTAAAAAAAAAAATCAACAATTGGGTCACTGAACTAATCAATTTCAAACAATTCATGATAAAAAAAAATTTAAAAAGAGATATAATTTCATTAGTTATATTATCTTTATTTTTCTACAATTCGAAGATTCCTTACCTTCAAATTTACATGATAATCTACTACACACATCTCACAACACATGAAACATGTAAGGAAAAAAAAAACTACATCTCACAACACATGAAACATGTAAGGAAAAAAAACTATCATTGTCAAATATCAACAAGCACTTGCAAGACCAAGGATGGAGCCAGAAATTCGGTTGACGAGGGCAAAGAAGTAGGGACGGATCCAGTTGTACAAACTATATATATATATATATATATATATATATATATATATATATATAGATAGATATATATATATATATATATATATATATATATATATATATATATATATATATATATAGGGACGCACTCAGGTGCGAATAAGTGCCCAGGAAGGAAATGCGAACGAATCAGGGCGTGACACGTGTCCAGATCTAATAACTTAAAAAAAAATGCGGTGACATTTTCGTAAATAATTGAACATCGAAGTGCAAGTAAAATCTCTTATAAGTGCACCTATTTTCACCTATAAGTGCATGTAATTTTGTCTTGTTAGCATTCACTTTCCGCAACCATTCATGCACCTGGGTGTGCTTATAACTATATGTGCAACTATTTATAACTATAGGTGCAACTACTTATAACTATATGTGCACCTACTTTCACCTATAAGTGCATGTAATTTTGTCTTGTTAACATTCATTGATCTGAGTTCAGCGGGTAGTAATACTCCTGAAAACCATTCGCAAACATTCATACACCTAGATGCAACTACTTATACCTATGTGTGCAACTACTTAGAACTATAGGTGCAACTACTTAGAACTATAAGTGCAACTAAGTATTGATGCTCAGTGTAAATTTTTACTTGCACCTATAATACATTTTACATGCACTTGTAATACATTTTACTTGCACTTCGATGTTCAATTATTTACAAAAATGCCACCGCGTTTTTTAAAAAAATCAGTGTTTCTCATCCATTAGATCTGGACACATGGACGAACAGAATCCATTCCTATTTCGCGCCTGGGCAAGCCGTTCGCACTCGAGTGCAACTCTCTCTCTCTCTCTCTATATATATATATATATATATATATATATATATATATATATATATATATATAGGACGAAGTTAGTTGCGCATGGCTGATCGAATGCATGTCAATTATCTTAATTAATAAATAAATAAATAAATAAATATATATATATATATATATATATATATATATATGTGTGTGTGTGTGTGGGGGGGGGGGGGTAGGTATTGATTTGTACAAAATATATTGAATTCGATAACTTCAAAAATTGTTATTAATTAAGATAATTGACATGCATTATATATCTATAATTAAGGACCAAGTTAGTTTCGCAAGGCTGATCGATGCATGTCAATTATCTTAATTAATTACAATTAGTTGGAGTTATTGATTCAATATATTTTGTACAAATCAATACCTACCATATATATGTGTGTGAGAGAGAATATAAAAACTAATAATATATAAAATTTAGATCAAAGACCAAAATGTGTAGTGGCTCAGGAGAATTTTAGTAAATGTGTGCTGACTTTTTTTTGACAGAAATGTGTAAAACTCACTTCCGACTTGCGTTTTTGGAGTTGTCCCGGGTGTATTTTTTTTTTTCATTATTTACTTAAAACGCAAGTAGGAGTTGCGTTTTTCGTATTGTATACGTTAAACGCATATGCCAAATGCGTTTTCATGAGACGTATCGCATACGTTAAAACGCATTTGGGAGATGCGTTTTACGTATAATACTTTAAAATACGAAAAACGCAACTCCCAAATGCGTTTTATTTACCGGCCCGCCGAATTAATTAATTAATGTAAATGGGCGGATAGATCGGATGGGATGAAGTGGGCGGGGCTGTGGGTGACCACCGTATATCCGCCGTCAACGGCCAAATTTTGGCCGCTGATGTAAGCAGAGTCATCGGAAGCAAGAAATAAAGCAACCTTGGCGACATGGGCAGGCTTGAGAACAATCCCCTTCAAGTTGGCTATGGCAGAGGTGTTTGCCTCCACTTGAGTTGGGTCCAACCCATAAGCTTTGCAGGACATAGTTTTCGCAAGTCGCAGGCAGTAAACGCAACTCCCTTTTGCATTTTACGCATAATACGTAAAATGCAAAATTAACTTGCATTTTCCACGATACCGTATTTCTTTCAAAAACGCGTTCCTGTAATGCGTTTTAGGTATACGATTCCGTAAACGCAACTCGTAGTTACGTTTTACGTAAATACAGAAAAAAAAAAAAAAAAAAAAGGCGGGACACAAGCAAAAACGCAACTCCTAACTGAGTTTTGCACATTGATGTCACTAAAAAAAACACCACACATTTTGGGAAATATCGGCTGTTTGACCACACATTTAGGTCATTGATCCTAAAATTTAGAGGATAATAAGCTAGCTATATCGTCTAATGATGGTACGTGCAACCACTGCTACCTAATAGTGTTATTTAGTAACATTAATTGTTGTTGGTGATCAGATCAACAACTAAAGACATTTGATCTCCAATGAAATCCAAACCTCGCACTTATATATTCTACGTACTCTCTGATCTGCATGCATGCATACATACGTAGTCGTTTCATTTTCTTCAACAGTACGTGGCCGCGCCGGCCAGATGGCGGCGTTGAGAGACAGCCCTAGTACAGTCGTCGTCGTGGTGGGTCCAAGTCCTCGGCCTTCTCCTCTCATAACAAGCGATGCGTTGACGGGGGACTGTTACCGCGTGACGGCGGAGTTGTGTTGTCGGCAGGGATGCGAGTATTGGCATGCGAGAAGAGCGTTTCTCAACAGTTACTGTTTCGACAGGCGGCGGCGCAGAAACATGAGCTCCTCCGTTGATAGAGTGATTGAGATGGCGGCGGCCGTGTTTCTCCGAATTCGGCGCCGGATGTCCGGCGCTCGAGGGTGGTTTAAGTATTACAAGCTCACTTTCTCCTGGCCAAGAGTTTTAACTGCAAGTTGCTATGTGCCATTCCCAGTTTATGTATAATATAATTTAAGTTGCCTGCATATATGCCTACATTCCCCATTCCACAAATTAAATTTTATATGTGCGTGCGCCGGATGTAAAATATATATTGTTATATATAACTTTGATTTGTTGTAAAGTTAGTTATATCAATTTAATTGATACTCCGTAGTATTTTTTATTATTATTATTATTATTATTTTTTTGTGATAAGGAAAATCTGTCATTACTATCTAAAGGGTATGCACTAAGTAAATATCGTCTTATCACTTTAATAGAAAATCGAACTTATAACATTTTTATAAAGTCAACAGTTCGACCAACTTAGTTAAGATTGTCCCTTAATTGAGATGTGGAGTTAATTTCATTTTGGTCCTAGATTTATAGGTGACAATCCACTTTTAATCATTTTTTATCATAACATTCATTTTTTGTCCTAGTATTATTGTGACATGACCAATTTTGATCCTTTATCAAAAAAAAAAAATCATTAAAAACAAGGGCATTTCACTCTCCAATTATGAATTTTTTCAACAATATAAACATAAAAAATATAGCGGGTCAACGCACTTTGTATTAAAAAGATCAAAATGCCCTTCACTTTAACGAAATTTCAACAATTTTGTTGATAGATGACCAAAATTGGTCATATAACAATAATACTATGACCAAAAAAAAAATATTTTGATAAAAAATATTAAAAGTGGACTGTCATCTATAAAGTTAGGACCAAAAATGGAATTAACTTTGAGAATATGATTTGAAAATATAAGTAGAGGTGTCAATGTGAGCCCACTCATCCCGCAGTCGCAAATTATGCTGTGCAACCGAATGCACCTTGCAAGGTGCATACTGTTGCAAAACGGCGCCGTTTTGGTTAAAAAAACGCGCATCCCACTTAAAGAAGAAATCAGGTCCGATTCCCGGCAATAGCATTTTTATATATCCACAATTTCATAACTATATATCCACAATTTCATAACTATATATCCACAGTGAATGAATGAAGTAAAAATCCACAATGAATGAATGAATGAAGTAAAAATTCACAATGAATGAACTAAATATCCACAATATATGATTGAACTAAATATCCATAAATTCATAACTATATAACCACAATTTCATAACTATATATCCACAATTTCATAACTATATATCCACAATAATGCTATTGCTGAGAGTCGAACCTAATTTTTTTTCTTAAGTGAGACGCGCGTTTTTAATCAAAACGACATTGTTTTGAACCGTATGCACCATGCGCATGGTACATTCGGTTGCATAGATTTTTATTGTCCCGCAGTATGTATGCTATAAATTTTGTGAGCCGCCCCACAAAGTCCATGAGTCAATTTTTTATTTTTTATTTTACTTTTAACCCATTCCATGCTGGTTGCCGGGCTTCACAAGTTAGTTTTTTTTTTTTTTTTTTTTTTTTTTTTTTTTTTTCTTTTAAGAAATTAACTATTTATATTATAATACATATCGTATTTTATGATCCGTTTAGATATCTATATATTTTTTTAAATAACTCATTTTTTA